GGGCAATGCCCAGTAGAGCCATGGGAACAGGGCCACCGGTGGCAGCTCTCACCTGGGAGAGCCCCAGGCATGCTGCTGCAACCTAGGAGAGCTGCTGTAGCTCTCAGAGACTGGGCGAGAGACTCGGTAATTTGTACAGAAAGAACATGTATTTGGTTCACGGCTATGGAGCTGGGGAAGTCCAAGATTGAGAGGCTCCATGTACCGAAGGCAGAAGGGCAAGAGAGTACGTGTGTGCAAGAGAGAAAGGGGGCCAAACTCACCCTTTTATCAGGAATACAGTCCCTCAGATAACAGCATCAATCCATTCATGAGGACTCTTCCCTCACAACCTAACCATGTCTTAAATGTCCCACCTCTCAACACTTGCATCGAGGATGCGTTTCCAACACTTGAACTTTAGGGGGCACATTCAAACCATTAATATCCAAAATATATGAGGCACTCCTATAACTCAATAGCAAAATAAATTATTCAGTTAAACAATGGGCAGAAAAGACATACAAATAGCCAACAAGTATATGAAAAGGTGTGTAACATCACTAAGGGAAATGCAAATCAAAACTACAATGAGCTGTCACCTCGCACCTGTTGGGATGGCTGTTGTCCACAAAGCAAAGGGCAACTGTTGATGACAATGTGGAAAAAAGGGGACTTCTGTGCACTGTTGGTTGGAATGTAAACAGGTGTAGCAACTATGGAAAACAATAAGGAGTTTTCTAAAATAAATTAGAAATAGACTCTCCATTTGATCCAGCAATATATGTATTCTGGTTACATATCCAAAGGAATTGAAGTAAGGATCTCAGAAATATCTGCACTCTAGTGTTCACTGCAGCATTGTTCACAATAGTCAAGATATGGAAACAACGTAAATGTCCATGTTGATGAATGAATACAGAAAAGTAGTAGTACAGTTGACCCTTGAACTACACAGGTTTGAACTTCATGGGTCCACATATACATAGATTTTTTTTTCCAATAAATATACTGGAAAAGTTTTTGGAGATTTGTGACAATTTGAAAAAAACTTGCAGTTGAACTGCATAATCTAGAAATATGGAAAACATGAAAAAGATATGCATGCATAAAATATGTAGATATCTATTACTACCATAAAATAATACATAAATGTATTATAAAAAGTTAAAATTAATCAAAATTTATGCACACAAATACTTATAAACAAAACGTGGCACCATTTGCAGTTGAGAGAAATGAAAAAACAAAGATGCAGCATTATCATAACTACAGAGAATTTACCATAGTACATACTGTGCTGCTGTCATGGTTTCACAGTCACCTCCTGTCGCTATTGTGTGTCCTAGTATGGCCTGTATCTGCTTAAAACACTGTGATGCTAATCATCTCCACGTGAGCGGTTTGTCTCTGGTAAATTGTGCATCACGGTGAAAAGCAACCTCTCATGGCTCTTGCGTATATTTCATCATGGCTAGTGCAATACCACGAGCCTTGAGCATCTCCATGGGACCCATACAAAGTGTCACTTGTGGCGCTGGATGTGCTGGAAATCATGACATTACAAGAAAAAGCTGAGATCTCGACACGTACCATAGACTGAGGGCTGCAGCTGCAGCTGCCCACCGTTTCAAGATAAATGAATCCAGGTTAAGGAACCTTATAAAAAGGAAAAGAAAATTTGTGAAGCCATCACTGAAGCTCTGCCAGCAGTCATGAACAACATGCGTTTTTTGTGAAATGCCTTTTTATCTCGTATTGAAGATGTAACTTTTATGTGGGTGCAGAATTGCTATAAGAAAGGCACACCTATAAACCATAATATGATTGGGAAAAGGCAAAGACATTACATGACAACTTAAAGCAAGAGGAAGTTGAAAGATCTACAGCTGGAGAATTTAATGCCAGTAAAGGATTGTTTGATAATTTTAGAAAGACGTTTGGGGTTTGGATTTTACAATGTCTGGATAACAGGAGAAGCAGCTTCTGCTGACCAAAAGGCAGCAGATGAGATCCCAGGTGCTGTTAAGAAAATCATTGAGAGTAAAGGATATCTTCCCCAGCAGGTTTTTAATGCGGAACAAAGTGCCCTATTCTGGGAAAAACTGCCACAGGGGGCATTTATCAGTAAGGAAGATAAGCAATCACCAGGATGTAAGTCAGGAAAGAAAAAGCTAACTACCATCTTGTACAAATGCAGTCAGTTTTATGATCAAGACTGCCCTTACCTATAAAGCAGCTGACCCCAGTCTTCTGGTTGCATAATAAGGCCGGGACAACCTGAAGCTTTTCTCTGAATTGGTTCCATTGATGCTTTGTCCCCGCAGTCAGGAATACCTCACTAGGAAGAAACTGCCTATTAGAATTCTTTTGATAATGGGCAATGCCCCTGGCCACCCAGAATCCCTTGAGTCCAGCACGAAAAGTATAGAAGTCGTCTATTTGCCTCCAAACACAACATCTCTAGCCTCTAGATCAGGGTGAAAAGGCTCTTTATACGTGGTACTCTATGGAAAGTATTGTCCATGCTATGGAAGGGAATCTCAATAAAGAAAACTTCATTAAAGTCTGGAAGGAGTACACCATTGAATTGATCATAGTTAGAGAAAAAGCCGTGGAAGCCATCAGTCTTAAAACAATAAATTCCTGCTGGAGAAGACAGTCTAGATGTTGTGCATGACTTCGCAGGATTTATCACAGAGCCAATCAAGAAAACTATGAAAGAGATTGTAGATATGGACAAAAAAAAAAAAAGTGGAGTGTGAAGAGTTTCAAGATATGGATCTTGGAGAAATTCAAGAACTAGTTGAGGCCATACTGGGAGAATTAACGACTTGAGGGAGGTGAGTGCTTCTGAACCAGTGCCAGACAATGAGGAAGAAGGCAGAAAACAAACTGAGAAGGTTCTGATTATTCAAGACAGCTTTGACTTCTTTTACGACATGGGCACTTCTGTGATATGGGCACTAAAACTAAAGCAAATGGCAGAAGGAGGATTGGTACCATATAGAAACGTTTTTAGAGAAATGAAAAAGCAAAACAGAAAGTATGATGTATTCCCCTAAAGTCACGCTGAGTTATCTGCCCCTCCTCCCTCCCCCTACTCTTTCTCCACCTCTTCAGCCTCTGCCACCCTGAGGCAGCAAGACAAGCCCTTCCTATCCCTCCTCCTCCTCAGCTTGCTCAATGTAAACACTATGAGGATGTAGGTCTTTCCTATGATCCGCTTCCACGTAATGAGCGGTAAATATGTTTTTTCTTCTTTATGATTTTCTTAATGCTATTTTTCTTTCTCTAACTTGCTTTATTGTAAGAATATGGTATATAATACATATACCATACAAAATATAAATCAGCTGTTGATGTTATTAGTAAGGCTTCTGGTCAGCAGCAGCATATTAATAGTTAAGTTTTTGGGAAATCAAGAGTTATATGAAAAGTTTTGACTGCACAGAAGTCAGTACCTGTAACGCCCCAGCTACTGACATTGTTCAAGGGTCAACTTTGTGAACAAAAAATGGCGTAGTATACAGCCCTAAAAGAGAAGAAAATCCTGCCATTTATGGCAACAGGGATGGACCCAGAGGACATCGAAAGAAGTGAAATGGCCAGACACAGAAAGACAAGTACTCTCTACTCTCGCTTGTATGAGGAATCTGAAATGGTCAAACAAGAAACAGCAGAATGGTGATTGCCTGGAGCTGGGGAAGGGGAAAATCCAGAGGTGTTGGTTAAAGGAGACAAAGTCTCAGTTATGCAAAATAAATAAACTATGGACATCTAATATTAAAAATTAAATTAATTGAAGCATATAAAAATTAATAAGAAAACTTTAGTAAAATGTTAATAGTAGAATCCAGGTAATGGATTTGTTTGAAAATTTTCAAATTAAAAAATCTTTGAAAAAAACAGATGCTATATTGTTTTCCTAAATTTTACATTACTCAAATTTTCATGAACAGTAGAATGGATAGATAATTTGTGACACAGAATGGAATATTATATAGAAAAGGATCTACTACACACCAAAATATGGATGCATCTCAAAAGCAAAATGTTAAACATAAGGAGACAGACATAAAATAATATATATGATATGATTCCATGTTTGTAGTATAAAACCAGGCAAAACTGATTTATACTGTTAGAAGTCAAGATAGTGTTTAACATGGGGGTGAATGTAGGCAGTGACTTGGAGGGGGATTTTGAGTTGCCGATATGTTCTGTTTCTTCTTCTGGGTCTGGATTCATGCAGTATGTTCATGCAGTTTGTGAGAATTCTTGTGGTATGTGTACTTTTCTGTTAATATGTTATATTCTCACAAAAAGTTACAAAATTAAAATAATAGCTCCTACCTCACAGTTTTATTTTGTACTTTAAATTAAAACTCATTAGCATGTAAGCTCCATGAGGGCAACAATTTTAATTAATTTTTTTTTTACTGCTAAATACCCCAAGTCTATGACATGGCCTGCCATACAGTGGACATTCAAAATGTTTTTCACAAATGAATGATAATATAAGCACAGTACTTATCTCAGTGCCTGCCACAGGGTACAAACTCTAAATGTTGGTCATCACTATTTTTAATAATACTGTTCTATCATTTCTTGAGGCAATTAAAGCCATTTATCTATCTAAGGAGTACAGTCTAGGCAACAACCTATATTAACAGCAGGTATCCTTATCTCATGTTCCTAAGTTCATCTCTTCACATAATCAATATTAGTAGAGTTCAGTGGCCACAGGGGAACTTTACTCTATGAACTTACAACGGGGAGTGAAGGTTCAAAAATTTACCCTTTTTTTAATGCAGTCTGTGTTAATTATTTATTCTGCTGCTATTGTTGCCCTTATTGGTTATCATGCTCTTATTGAACTCTGACGTGAAAAGTATTGTCAATTAATATAGTTGTGCTATTTTAACATTATTTGAAAATATTTTAAGTGAAATATAAGTCTTGTTACAAAGGGACTTAGTCGTATGCTGTAAATTATTAACTTTTTTTTTTTTTCCAAGAGAAGTATTATGTACTTAATGACGAGTCCCTAGTGCTTTGGGATTGTTAAAATTTTTATGAAGCACACCACTGAAGATGAGGTTGAAAAACTTGACTTTTATCATCATATTAATAATCCCAGGAGAACTCTATGCAGAAGGTAAAATTAATTCCTAATATCCTTTATTCTCTAAAAATATAAATGGAGATTCAAACATTCATACAACTTGAGTTTTAGTATACTCTTTCATTTTGACATATCAATTTTATAACATATACTTTTTATAAACATTATTTGTTATAATATTTAGACAGACCTTTTCCTTTGAGCAAAACTGGTGAACTATTATTTTAGTAGCATAACTTAGAAAAACAAAACAGAACGAAAACACTTTGTATCTCTGTTTTGAGGCATAGGAGACTAGGATCTAAATACTTTAAAAGGTTTTCAGGCTAACAATATAGCCATTCATATGTTAGCCTTAATTCTAGTTTCATTCCTAACATTGACAAAACTTACACAATTTAAATTCTCTTTTCTTAAGGAGAGAGTTTAATGTGGGAAATTTTAAAAAGAAATAACCATAAATCATCAGCAAGATTTTCTACTCTTGATAGTTTGATTTTTATCCCAGTGATTTATTCCTTGGTTGAAGTCATTAAGTAGTGATTAGTAGGAGGACTACATAAATGATTATACAAAACGGGACACTTTTGAGAGTAAAATGAACGTTCTCTTAATAATTATGTTTGGACAACCGGTGTAAATTCAGACTGTCCAGACAAATCAATACCTATGGACTCCCGAACTATTAGATATCTTTAAAACCAGACTGTCTAGTGTGTAAGATTTGTGTGAGAGTGAAAGGTAGGCAGTGCACATGTGTGTTAGTTTCGAACAATTATCATATTATTAGGCTGTAGGGTTAAAAAATCCCGGGAGCTCATTTAGCATCAGCAAAAGTGAATATACAAATTAGCAAGAGTGAATATACAAATTAGGAAACCACAGCAGTAATGCTTTTCTGAAATAAACATTTTAGAGAATTTGTTAAGGGAAAATATACGAGTTATAATTGCCTTTTAGTTGAATGCTTTACTACAAATTTTCTACCAATAAAGGTCTGCAATTAAAATTATGAAAGTGAAATAAATAGAAGTCAGCTTATTTGATACTTTTGATTCTATAATAGGATAATTTTTGCATGAATAGTTTCCTTTGATTTATTTTTGTGTCTAAATAGGGAAATACCAGCTAATATAATTGTCTGTATACCATGAAGACATTGTAATATTATGGCTCATTTTCTAATTATGGTTAACAGTCTTATTTCATACAAACGAGAAAGTCTCAGCTGCTTAAAGACAGAGACAATTATCTCATTTTCACATGCTTTCTCCAATCCCCACTGGGAACCCTAGGGAAAAGAACTGAGTTAATTGCACCTTTCTTTTTGTGGTATGCAATCATTATTGGCCTATGAATGGATTCACTCTTGCTTATTTATACATTTTCTCCCCTTATCCCCAATCATGTAGTCAGTTTCTCCTGGGGCACACTATAATGTTTTGATGTGTTCTTAAATATGTAAATACTTTTATAAAATATGTCTTGTTTTGCGTATGTGTTTTACATTCACATAAATGGAAACTTGCTGTAGGGTTTATCTTCTTATTGTTTTATTGTACTTGATACTGTTCAAATGTATTTCCATGTTGCTGACACTATTTTACTTCTAACTGCTGCCCACTGTTTCATGTAACCACTCTTCCAATGATGGACGCATAGTTACTCCAATTCTCTCTTAACCAAAAATAACTCTGAAATGAATAATATAATATAATCACCTTATCTCTCTACAGAATTTCTTTAGCCTGCATCCACTCACAGGTGGGGTTATTGGGTCAATTCTTGTACTTGATTTCTGTGCATGGTGACGTCCTACTTTTGCAGAGTGGCTACTTCACAGAATATAGCCTCCAAGAGAGGATGTGAATTGTTGCTTCCCTTATGCTCACCAACACTTCGTATCACTCATTTTTGTACTATTTGCCAAGCTATTGTTCATAAAGTGATTATGCCATTTTTATTTATTTGCCACTGTCTGATTCCTAATATGTTTATACATCTCTTCATATACTTTTTTAGAGACTCAAACTTCTGTGATTTATAGCTGATTAGCATTTTCCGTTGCTTTTTTGCCTTTTTATAGCTGATTTGTGGAATTTCTTGCCAATTTTAGACACTGCAAATTCCTTCTTCTAAAACATTACATTATGTGTTTTATTGCCAATGACTTTCATTGAAAGGTATCCATAATTTTTTTGAGAGAGAGTCTCTGTCACCTGGCTAGAGTACAGTGGCATCTTCACAGCTCACTGCAACCTCCAACTCCTGACCTCAAGCAATCCTCCTGCCTCAGCCTCCCAGAGTGCTAGGATTACAGGCATGAGCCACTGTGCCTGGCCATATCTTTAATTTTGGTATAATCAAGTCATCAAATTTTGCCTTATGGTTTCTGCTTTCTTCCCACACCTCTGACTTATGCAATGTGAACAGTGCCTCTGGAATTGTGCTACACAGGGGCCCTAATGACATAAAGTAGGGATTTTAAATTTTATATTTCTGTGTGCTTATTAGTTCTTTGGTTGCAATCATTCTGCTATTTTCTACATTTAATGGGTTATTTATATCAACTGTTTAAGTACTACTTGAAATGTCTGCAAAAACTTTTAATGTAAAAAAGTATTGTCACTTGATCACAAATTTTATGCTCTTAGGTGTGCTTTTCCATTTTCAGCTTGACGTTTACTCATTTCAGAGAAGCCCTGTGGTTTTCCTCATGTGGAAAATGGAAGGATTGCCCAATATTACTATCCTTTTAAAAGTTTTTACTTTCCAATGCGCGTAGACGAAAAATTGTCGTTTTTCTGCTTGGCTGGTTACACAACTGAAACTGGGAAGCAAGAAGAGCGAACCACATGTACAGCAGCAGGCTGGGCTCCAGCACCAAAGTGCTTCAGTAAGTCAGCTGCACGTGTCGAATGGCGGTTGCAATACTCAAATAAATCAGTTTATAAGAATAAGAGTCCAATAAAATATGGAAAGTGGTTGAACCTTTATAGTAGAGAAGGACAAAATTACTGGTAAACTGTCTTTTTACAAAACAAAGGCATACTTTGAAATTCTGTAAATAACGCTTTGGCATGAAAATGTTATTTTCTTCATTTATAATACCCAGTGAAGGGGATAGGGCCACAACTGCATTTTTTATTTATTACATTGCAAGGGACATAGACGTAAGTTATTTACTTTAAAGAATGAGGAACTTTCATGGACAATTACGCACAGGAAGTCAGGAAAATGCTCAGGAAGGACAAGATTGCTGCTCTGGGGCTTTCTCATTTGCAAGACTCATCTCTCCTTTGTGTGCCAACTTATTTCATAATATCCATGGAAAGATGTGTTTATCTACATTTTGAGTTCAAGTTTGTGAGAAGGTAATTTGATTGGTTCAGCTCATTATTTGATGTCAGGCTATACTCTCGTCAGGTGACCAGTTGGCTCCCACTGGGTCAGGGGACCTTTCTTGAGCTAAGAAGATCCCAAGCTCTGTTTTCCAGAGTGAGGGGCTTCGGCTGAGTCAGTTTCATGTAGAAGAGGAAGTGGGGCACAGTGGTTACTGTGGGTGAAATATCTAGTAAACACATCTAAAAGTAGATGTGGTAGTAGTAACTAGAATGATTACAATTAGTAGACACAGGCCGGGTGCACACGCCTGTAATCCCAGCACTCTGGGAGGCCGAGGCGGGTGGGTTGCTCAAGGTCAGGAGTTTGAGACCAGCCTGAGCAAGAGCGAAACCCTGTCTCTACTAAAAATAGAAAGAAATTAATTGACCAACTAAAAGCATATAGAAAAAATTAGCCAGGTATGGTGGTGCTTGCCTGTAGTCCCAGCTACTCAGGAGGCTGAGGCAGGAGGATCGCTTGAGCCTAGGAGTTTGAGGTTGCTTTAAGCTAGGCTGACGCCACGGCACTCTAGCCGAGGGAATAGAGTGAGACTTTGTCTCAAAAAAAAAAAAAAATTACTAAATACAAACAAAGTCAATATCAAATCCATTTTCAAAGAAACTTTACGCAGGTATTTCCAAGATTAAGTTAAGAAATTGTAGAATGAAATTATTTCTCTCTCTCTCCTTCATATTCCAGCTAAGAATAGTATACTTTTATCTCAATTTTACAACTTAGTAAAGGACAAGCTTACTTTTATCATTAAGTTAAGCAAATAAATATTTTTTTCCCATAGAAAAATGCACAAAGCCTGACCTGAAAAATGGTTACTTCCCTGATGTAAAAGTGGTGTACAAAATTCAAGAGAACATGCGCTACAGTTGTGCTTCAGGATACAAAACCGCTGGAGGGAAGGATGAAGAAGTGGTTCAGTGTCTCTCTGACGGGTGGTCTTCTCCACCAGCCTGTAGGAAGGAACAGGGTATGAGCGTAAGAATCATCTCCTAAAACTGAAGATAAGAGCTGAGGAGGCTAGTACTTTCTTATATTCATGGGTATTTTTAGTTAACATAATTTATTTTTCATGATGTCTGCAAACGCAGGGAGTTGATATTGCATTGCTTTTCTCAGATGCTGTTTTCTTATCCAAGGGTTCTCAATCCCTACAACACACCTGCTCTCATAGTTCCTGCTTTGTACTAATGTTAATAAAAAAGAATTGGGGCCGGGCGCGGTGGCTCACGCCTGTAATCCTAGCACTTTGGGAGGCCGAGGCGGGCGGATGGCTCAAGGTCAGGAGTTCGAAACCAGCCTGAGCAAGACCCCGTCTCTACCAAAAATAGAAAGAAATTAATTGACCAACTAAAAATATATATACAAAAAATTAGCCGGGCATGGTGGCGCATGCCTGTAGTCCCAGCTACTCGGGAGGCTGAGGCAGTAGGATCGCTGAGCCCAGGAGATTGAGGTTGCTGTGAGCCAGGCTGACGCCACGGCACTCACTGTAGCCTGGGCAACAAAGCGAGACTCTGTCTCAAAAAAAAAAAAAAAAAAAGAATTGGGATGTAATAAAATTGAAGACCTTTAACAAACATTTTTCTGCAACATCTATAAATCACTATTTCCTTTATTACAGAAGAATTAGAGATCAGGCACATTATTATATATTGTAAACCAATGTCAGCTATACTTAAAAAAAATTCAACAATTTGAATATATATATATATACTTTGTTAATATGTTGTATGCTGTTTAAATCGCACAACTCCATAAAGAGCACATATTCAAAACATTACTACTGCACAAGCCGTCCGTTGAACGGCGGCCTTTGGGGAAGGGCTGTGGACTAGAATTTTAAGAATAGACGACTGGCAGGGTCAAGTCACCAGGAACCTCTTTTTCAGTTTTGCCAAGTGTTGATTCTGCCAAATAGTTTTAAGATTGAGTTCAAATACATTTTGAGATTTCTTTTTAATGTTCTAGGGCATTAACAGTTTTATGAGCTCATAAAATAAACAACTTTAATGTTTTTAGAAACATGTTTGGCCCCTGAATTATATAATGGAAATTATTCCACAACACAGAAAACGTTCAAAGTGAAGGACAGAGTGCAGTACGCATGTGCTGCCGGCTACCACACAGCTGGGGGCAAGACGGCCGAGGAGGCGGAATGTCACTCGCACGGATGGTCGGTCACTCCACAGTGCTCCAGTAGGTTCTCCTCCTGCATAAAATCGCCTGAAAATCACCCCAAAAACTTTCTCATACAGAAATGCGTATTAGTTGTCGTGCTAATTATGTTCTATTTTTCATACTTTTTTTTTTTTGCTTCTGATTTTAATTACGTTAGTAGCCTTTGGTCAATTAAAGCTCTAAAGTTGGAAAAATTCATTTTAGCTCACAGAATTAAATTAGAATAAGCCTAATGACATTTAATATATACAATGAATTCATAAGCTTTTATTATTTAAAACAAATATGGCGAATTGATTAATTTCTACTCTAGATATGGCATGTAAGTACTAAGTAAATTTTGTCCTAGCAGAAAAAAATAATTGTCTTTACATTTTTATTCCTTCTTTCATTTCTAGAATTAAAGTGCTCTTCTTTAAGATTAATAGAAAATGGTTATTTTCATCCTGTAAAGCAAACCTATGAAGAAGGAGATGTAGTTCAGTTTTTCTGTCATGAAAATTATCATCTAAGTGGATCTGATTTAATTCAATGCTATAATTTCGGTTGGTACCCAGAATCTCCTGTCTGTGAAGGTAAATATTTAAGTTTCACACTCACAAATAGAATGTCGTGTCTTTGTCAGCTTTAATCTCTAAGAGCTCTAGAAATAACTAGGCCCAATTGCCCTAATAAGAAATAACTATTTCTTAATGGACATAACTGGACCCAATTGCCCTAATCTGGTAGTTTGTGAGGACACTTTCTCTTAATTGGCCACATGTTTCCTGATGTGAGAATTCAATCTCTAAAATAGTGAGACGGAGAGCAGAAAAGGCAGAGGGCTATTACCCACAAGTGAAAATGGAAAATGGGGTTTAGTAAAAGCTACCCCAAAGTGTAATAGCTATGGCCACTGGGTGTATTTCTATCGCTGGATGTATTCAAGCAGGTGGTATGATTACTCGTTAGAAGACACAAATCAACACTTACTTAAACATGCCAACAGCACAGTATGAAGAAGGCCCTAGTCTAGAGAGGAAAGAGATAAGGAAAAACAACTGCTACGGTGGGGCAAATGGTTTAGTAAAGTCAGGTGCTAAGTGCTTGAATAGGCGTCAGAGATTCTGATTGGTACATGTGGAATAGCATTCACAGAAGTGATGGGTAATATCTGAACTGGACCTTAAGAGATAAATAGGAGTTTGAGGATGGGGAGGGCTGGGGGGAGGCAAAGGGCTTGTAGCCGCTAATTTATGTATATTATGGGATGTGACGTCAGGATTGACAGGCAGCGAAAGACATGCAAGTGGAACTGGGAAGAGAGTGGTGAAGACGTGAACCAGCTGCTAGGAGGAGTGAACGAGGAGCAGACCAGGGGTGTGCAAAGGGTTGCCTGGAACTGCCTTAACTCTCTACATGCACTGAACAATAACGTTAGTGGCTGCGTGATTTTCCAGCCGTGCTCAACAGCCTTGGTGTAACAGTAGATAGGAAGACTGTTAGCAAATTTTCTGTAGCATATGATTTCAAACATAAATGGCAGACGTATCTAACACCTACTCCACACCCCGTCTTCCCTCCAAATCAGTCAACATACCAGCATGCCGTGACCCGCTCTAGTAAACGGTCAACACATGCAGGATACGCAGTGTGACCAGCAGAATAACGATCCCCCTTCTCCCAGAAGGTCCACGTCCTAATCCCTCGAACCAGTGAGTGTCGCCTTATGTGGCAAGAAGAACTTCACAGCTGAATATTGTGAGGCAGGAATAGTATCTGGGATTGTCCATTGGAACCCTAACTGTGATCACCAATGTCCTTACGGAAGGAACCCAAGGGGAGATCGGACTGCAGAAGGGAATGTGGGAGAGGTGGCGATGGCAGCGGCAGGTTGGAGGGACAGGAGGAAGGGCCGCCAGCCGAGGGTCACAGGCAGCTTGCGGGAGCTCGAAGAGGCAGAGCAGCCAGTGCCCTCCAAACCCTCCCGACACCCCGACTTCAGCCCAGCGAGACTGATGTTGGGCTTTTGCCCCCGAGAAGAGACTAGGTCTGTGTTGTTTTAAGCCACTAAACTGTGATGACCTGTCACAGCAGCAGCAGGGAACTAACACAGGAGATTGTAAGTCAGGTAGATACGGAGTCAAGAACAGATCCCACCACCTGCTACCGATTTACTTCACTAGGTAGGAACTGTCATTTCTCTCGTGTTATAGAAAAGGAAACTGACAGTTCCTACCTAGTGAAGTCATTTTAGGATGAAATGACTAATAAGATAATGAATGTGAAATACTTGCTGCTTTCATTTTCTGTTGGTGCATAACAGTGTTGCTCAGCAGCCTAAAACAACCCAAATGTGTGATTTCACAGCTTTGTAGGTCGGGAGTCTGGGCGTAGCATACTGGACTCCTCTGCATCACTATCTAACAGAACTGCCACCAAAGTGTCATCGGGGGCTTATAGGTGGCCGCAATCCTCTTCCCAGCTCACTGGGGTTGTTGGCAGCACTCGGTGCTTTGCGGCTGCTGGACCCAGAGCCTCAGTTTCCTGCCTGTGTTGGCCGGAGGCAGCCTCTGCCCCTGTCCTGTGGGGGCCCCGTGTGGAATCCGCAGTGTGGCAGCTGCATCTTCAAAGCCACCAGGGAGGGAAAGTCTCTGGGCAGGAATGGCGTCATGTCACGTCACATATCCCTAATAAACATGGTCACGTACTGACCCGTCATCCTTGCTGTGCTCTGTGGCCAGAGGCCAGTCCGCCGTCCCGCTCGGGCACAGGAGCCACTGGGATGTGACCACAAGGAGGTGGGACCAAGGCCGTGCTCCTGGCATTGCCTGCCACCCCTCCACGGTGCTGGGCTCAGCTAGCATTCCTGTCACATCTTTATTATTTTTGTGATTATATGACTGTATATGCTGATGTTTTCCATAAGGAAGAAGAAATCGATGTCCTCCTCCACCTCTGCCCCTAAACTCCAAAACGCAGACATATTCCACAACTTACCGTCACGGGGAAATCGTCCGCATAGAATGTGAGCTCGACTTTGAGATCCAGGGCTCTGAAGACCTGCGCTGTGAGAATGGAAAATGGACAGAACCTCCGAGATGCATCGGTCAGTCCCCCCCTGAAGAGGCTTTTCCTGTCATGAAACCTGCACGTGTAGCTAAATGGTCTCTTCTCCTCTCGTGCCTTTTCAGAAGGAAAGGAGAAGACAGCCTGTGAGGGGCCACCCGCCGTCCGGAACGGCGCAGCACACCTGCGCTCTGGGATTTTTCGCAATGGAGATAAAGTCACGTACAGATGTGAGCCCGGCTACTATCTCCGTGGACCGGAGGCGATAACTTGTCGGCGTGGGAAGTGGACACTACCCCCTGAATGTGTCGGTATGTGTGCTGCATGTAATGCCCGTAGCTAAGCCCGTGATGCAGAATCTTTCATTCTGGTTGTTTCATCCACAAGCTTGTTGTGAGGGCCCCGCAGCTTAGGAGAGTTGGAGACACGTCGCCACTGCACCTGCTCTGCTACTTTTCTGTGTGTTTGGAGTCATCTGTAGAATTTGAGCCGATGTAAAGAATTTGGGAATTAAAAAAAAAAAAAAAAAAACTATTTGAATGCATTAGTGCGAGGCACTGCTGCCTGGCCTCTGTGACATCATGACCTGCCAGCTTTAAAAGATAGCACTTAGGTAACGATGTGCTTCATTCGAGAAGGAAGTAGAGCATGTTGGATTCAGTGACTGGCCGTGAGTATGAGCTATTGATACTTTTCTCCTGCTATGTCCTACGAAGGTAGGCCAGTACTCTGTTCCTCACTTTGGGCAACTCCCACTGACATTTTGCTGCTGGCCATTCTGAACCTCACACCCTTCTGAGACAGGTCCCTGATCTTGCACTTCTCTGAAGAAAACCACCAGGCTACACCGTCACTCCTAAGTGTTCTTCTTCCTGCAGCTTTCTCCTTCTTGATCAGATCCTAGAGTGATTTCCACAGATGTGTTTGTCTAGGGTATTTATTGCATAAGACAAAAGTTATGAAGGATGCTAAGGAAATTAGCTGAGTAAGAGACAGATATTAAAGAGAGAGAGAGAAATGGATATTTCATCCATGGGTTGATTGAGATCTGAGATGAAGAGGAAAGAGAAGGAAGGAAATAAAAGTGGTTAATGCCATAGTGTAGTTTTAGAATTGATCATAATCTCTAGGTTGAAGAACATAGTTTCCCTTTCTATAGATTTTGAGAATATCTATTAATATATCATAATTCCTTCACAATCAAGAAAAGAGAAAGTATATGCATCACTTGTTCTTAGGCAAAACATTTGCTGTTTATTCTTGCTTAGCAAATTTTTAAGATATTTAAGTTGAATAACATTTCTCTCATTTCTGGTGAATTTAGAAATCAATTGTCCTAAATTATATAGTACAAATACTGAGAAACTATAGCATATATAACTATATTTGATATATATATATAACTATATTTGATCATTATATTGTTATGAGCTCAATTAATTTTAAAATAACCTCTTTTCTTAGAAAATAATGAGGACTGTAAACCTCCACCTGATGTAATAAACGGAGCTGTTGTGGGCGGGTCGTTGGCAAACTACACAACAGGGTCCTCGGTGGAATACAGATGCAACGAGTACTACTTACTGAGAGGCTCGAAAACATCTCGCTGTGAACAAGGAAGATGGTCTTCCCCACCACCTGTCTGCTTGGGTAAGAAAGAGAACACACTGAATATCTTTTACTGCTACATTCTTAGTTTTATATGATTTTTCCTTACAATGTTTTACAGCATGAAAATGATAATTTATTATGAATCTTTTTTTTCTAAGTGTTTTCTCCTCTCATCTTTTCAAAGTAGAAAATCTCCAATATCTTAGTGTCTAGGATTGCTTTAGTTCCTACCCCATTACATTTCATTGTGTTAAAATACACATAACATAAAATTTAACATTTTAACCATTTTTAAGTGTGCAATTCAGTAGTGGCGTTATGTATGATATGTTCACATTTTTGTGACCAGTTACTTTCTGTGTTATCTTTCCCCTCACTGAAATGCTGCCCTTAACGTACCCTCAGGGTCTCCGCTTGTGCCACCCTCAGAAAGTCATTTGGAGAAAAGATCATCAATCCAGCTCTTCCCTTGGTAAAGCCTATCGCTACTACCTCATCTGCCAGCTCATCCTCACCCAAAGGGACACTAGGTTATATCTTATTAATCACATAAAAATGTTAATGACTTACTTTTAATAAGTGGTCTTCTAAACTCTTTTACACACACACACACACACACACACACTCCACAAAAATACCATCATACCCTGCAGAGGTTATATGTTTTGTTTTTGTTACATAAAATATATTATAAACATGACTTGTTATACTTCTATATAGCGCTGCTTGCTCCCTCTTCCTAGAATACTCTTCCATCAGAACATGACATGGCTCACTCCTCAACCTTTAAGTTTGTGTGCAGGCATCACTTCTTATTTAGGCCTATTCCCATCACCTTAGAGTGCAGCCTCCTTTCCCTCAGCCCTTTTGATAGCATCTCCCATCCACTGCTTTTTTTTTTTTTCTTTTCCTTTATTTTATTTATTTATTTATTTATTTTGAGACAGAGCCTCTCTCTGTTGCCCAGGCTGGAATGCAGTGGTGTGATCATAGCTCACTGTAACCTCAAACTCCCAGGCTCAAGTGATCCTACCCCCTCAGCCTCCCATGTAGCTGGGACTACAGGCGTGTGCCACCGTGATCAGCTAATTTGTCCTATTTTCAGTAGAGACAGCAAGAACAAGAGATGCTCTTGCTCAGGCTGGTCTTGAACTCCTGAGCTCAAGCAGTCCCCCTGCCTCAGCCTCCCAGAGTGCTGGGATTACAGGCATGAGCCACCGCACCCAGCTCATTCTTTTATTCATCTAATTTATTTTATGCTATAGTTTACAGATGACCACAAATTATATAATTCATGTATTTATTAATTATTTAGTGTGGGTGTTTCTTCCAGTTAGAAAGGAAGCTCCATGTGGACAAGTGTCTTTGTTTTATTAATTATTGTATATCGATTGGCAGGTTTTCTATGCACAATAAATATATTTTCTAATTCGGAGTTTTTATTTTATGGAGAGAAAAATCATTAATCTAACTGGATAGTGGCCTTAAACAATCTTTTTAATGTTTCAAAATAAGTGGTTTTAAATCATGACATATTGAACACCATAAGAAATGTATAAATTTATTTGAAAGTAACAAAGCAGATATTTTCTTATATATGTGGAGAGCTTTAAATAATGATAAATGTCAAATATAAAATATTTCTTTTGATGTCTCTCATAATTTTTATTTAAAAAATATATCCCTTTCATGTTTGTTGGGTGAGTAAGGAATTTAAATTAGCATTTTGTTTTCAGAGCCATGCACTGTTAATGTGGATCACATGAACAGAAACAACATAGAGATGAAGTGGGAATACGAAGGGAAGGTGTTACATGGAGATCTAATAGACTTTGCCTGTAAGCAGGGCTTTGTCTTGTCTCCGTCCGCCCCGCCGTCTGCCTTGTCCGTGCAGTGCAGCAGAGGAGAAGTGAAATACCCTCTATGTATTAGAAAAGGTAAAACAGTGGTGCTTTCCGGTAATTTCTCACTTGATCAACGTCTGCCACCTGGGCTGAAAGTTATATGCCTAGATGGAAGGACTATGCTGACATCTTGTAATTCCAATAAGTCAATTTTATGAAGGGAAAAAAATCAAGAGGTTTTATAAATGCCACCAGACCATCAGAGAATCGATCACACTCATGTGAGCACTCAACAATGTTGTAAAACACTGCTTTACTTGGGGATTGCTGGGGAGCATAGTCTCAGAAAAGTGCTTGATCCACAGTGTGAGAGATTTTTTTGTGCTCCCTGGATTTAGAAACTATTACTTTTTTTTTTTTTTTCGAGACAGAGTCTCGCTCTGCTGCATTGAGTAGAGTGCAGTGGCGTCATTGTAGCTCACTGCAACCTCAAACTCCTGGGCTCAAGGGATCCTCCTGCCTCAGCCTCCCGAGTAGCTGGGACTGTAAGTGCACACCACGATGACACCCAGCTAATTTTTTTATTTTTAGTAGAGACAGGGTCTCGCTCTTGCTCAGGCTGATCTCGAACTCCTGAGCTCAAGTGATTCTCCCTCCTTCACCTCCCAGAGTGCTGGGATTACAGGTGTAGCTGGAGCTATTACTTTTAATAAGAGAAAGAGGAAGACAATACGTACAGAAAGCATGGCTTTAAGAGAAATCTCCTACACTTTCACTTTTGGTTAGATAAAAGGGGAAAAATAAAACCGTAATTTTTAATACTTTGATAGTTTTAAATAAGTATTTGAATATTAGAACATGGGATTCTAATTGTAAAAATAAATATTGTGGTATATTATCACAAAAATATTTTCAATATTTAAAAATTATTTGAGAACTGCCCAAAAAATGCCTTTGCATAAAATAGCTCATTTTATTTCTGTAGCAATTATAAAGGCACTGCATGCTCATTATAGCAATTCATTGTATTCTTTAAAACTTATTTTTGCAGAATCTAAAGGAAGGTGTGCATCTCCTCCACTTATTAAAAATGGAGTCATAATTAGTTCAATAGTAGGAACCTATGAAAATGGCTCCTCGATAGAATACAAATGTTTTGATCACCATTTCCTACAAGGGTCTAGGGAGGCCTATTGTTTAGAGGGAGTGTGGACTACACCGCCATCGTGTCTGGGTATGTACTACCAGATGTGCCTCTATTTAATAAAGTAAAGTAAGACTGTGTATTTTTGCATTAACATAACACTAATGACTCCTGTCATTTTTGCATTAACATAACACTAACATAATGCTTTATTTACTGCATTTGTGTCATTTTATTAGTGTGTCTATTTAACCATTGGTTTCTATTCTTTCTTTTAGATCATAAATAACTATAGTCCAGTTTGCTGTAATAAGTATTTATTAGGTGCAAATCATGTCTCAGGTACTCGTTTGGTGTGGGCCTATAAGATGAATAAGCCATAATGGTGTGGGTGAACATGTTAACAATTTTTATTTAATATGATTGGTACTACAACAGAAAACATGAGTACAATCAGGGAACAAAGATAGCCATGGCTACCTCAATATGGAAAGATGAAGCAAGTTAATAACTTTATAGCAAGGCTTCCTAACACAAGTAACACCACTTACCAAGTCTTTAAATAAATTCACTTCTAAGTGCAGTGTTAGACTTTTAATAAAATCAAGTTAAAGTTATAGAAAGCTTCTCTTTCTATTTTGCTGATTTTTAACAATCATCGAGTGTGTAATTTTAGCAATATCTGTTCAAATAATTATATGATTATTACTTTGTGTTTTCCCTGCAAATTTAGTAAACTATGTAGCTTCTTTGTGAATGTTAAAGCATAATTGCATTTCCACAGAAACCCCACATGGTTGTTATGAATTATGCTTCTTATATATTGTTGGGTTTTATCTGCTAATATTTTACTTAGGAGTTTTGCATCTATTTTCATGAGAAAGATTGGTCTTTTATTTTCCTTTCAGGTTTAGTATAAAGTTTATGCTGACCTCATATGAATTGGGAAGTAGTCCCTCTTTTTTGTTTCTCTGGAATTTGTGTATGATTGGTGCCTGAAATTCATGCTAGTTTTATTGTCACACCTCAAACTGCACAGTGCATGATAAATGCTTAGTTAGGATGGAAGAGGCATTAAAATTATGGACAGAAAACATGAACAGAAACATGTTCTAACTAATGGCAATAGGGTTTGGTACTATCTGTGGTTTTAGCCATCCACTGGGGGTCTTGGGATATATCCCTCACGGATAAGGGGAGAAAACCGTAAATAAGTTTGTTAATGTATCACAGGTGTGTATATGAGATTGATATGCTGTATTCGCAATTCTGGACTTTTTACCTATTCTGGAAGTTACTCCTTAATGCTGTGCTATCCGGGAGGCAAATAAAAACATAAGAAATCCCATTTTCTTAAATAATTTGACATTTGATAATTTAAAAAATCAGTATTTTTTTGTTTATTTGTTTTTGACACAGAGTCTCACTCTGTTGCCCTTGCTAGAGTGCCGTGGCATCAGCCTAGCTCACAGCAACCTCAAACTCCTGGGCTCAAGCAATCCTCCTGCCTCAGCCTCCCAAGTAGCTGGGACTACAGGTATCCACCACCATGCCCAGCTAATTTTTTCTATATATTATTAGTTGTCCACCTCATTTCTTTCTATTTTTAGTAGAGACGGGGTCTCTCTCTTTCTCAGGCTGGTCTCAAACTCCTGAGCTCAAACAATCCACTCGCCTCAGGCTCCCAGAGTGCTAGGATGAGAGGCATGAGCCACTGCGCCCAGCCAAAAAAAATCAGTATTTTTACCATGCCAAAAAAAAATCAAAGAAGTTTGTTGGGTATCCTAATGCATATTTTAAGTTTTTGTTTTGTTTGTATTATTACATATGGGAAAGGAAACAATAATACTGCCCATACTTAGAATTTAAAGCATCCTAATCCAATCTCGATATTCCTTAGTTAGAAATTTAAAAGACAGGAAACTGTGAACCACTTTGTATGGCATCAGTTTATAGAGTTTGGGTCAATGTCAAGAATCTAGCTTGTGTCTACATTTCCATAAAATATCATCTATCCAGCAATTAATGATTTGTCTTGTATTTTATTTGAACTTTATGAAAAAGGAAAAGGGAAAACAACATTGTTTCAATGACCATTAGTAACGGCCAGTTCTCCTAAAAAACACCTTTATGTTTTGTTTGCTATCTTTGAAAAACCTAATGGCATACAACTAAGTAACTGGCAGGACATATCCTTTCTCCAAATCCAAGACCACAGAGATAACCGGTGCACAGTTTTCTGTGAGGTTTGAACTTATTTTCCGACTCAAATGTTAGTTCTGACTAACTTGCCATTCATACGCCTGGGAATTTTGGATTCATCATGATTCCTGTTAGGACCAAGATGTATCAAGATATTTTTCTTCTTTTTTTTTCCCCCTCCCTCCAGAGCCTTGCACATTATCTTCAGTTGAAATGGAAAAGAATAATTTACTCCTGAAATGGGAATTTGACAATAGACCACATATTTTCCATGGGGAATATATTGAGTTTCTTTGTAAGAGAGATACTTACAGAGCTATGCCACATATTATTGAATCTGAACTCAGAGTGCAATGTGAGAGAGGGCAGTTAAAATACCCAAGCTGTGTTCCAAGAGACAGGTAAGAAGAGGCTTTCATCCAAAGCTATTCATTTTTGTCAGATTGTTATTTGAGATTCATTATGCTATAAATTTCAGAAATGTTATGTTTTACAACACCCCTACTTTATGGCCGTTAGAAAAGAAAAAAAATAATATTTTCTTCATTTAAAAAAAATACAATCTAGAAGTATTAATTCAACAAGTTTTCTGTATTGTCTTCAGTCAGAACAATGCTTGCCGTTTGATGATATTCAGGACACTTTGGCAATTGGAAAAATATATCAATTTATATGTACAATATTTAAATGTGCAAAAATTAACCTGTATGTTCTGAGATAAGAAAAAAAAATTACATTTTCCCCTTCTTCTCAGTATAAGGTCATACATAACTAATAAAAGTTGGAAAACACAGTTGTATGAACCATTCTACTAAGATAAGAGTGTATTAATAATAATTATTAAAATTATAGTATTTATTTTGAGGACCACTTTTGTATATAACTATTGGGAATCACTGAAGTGTTTCCTCATATGACAATTTAAAGAATATTAAAAGGGTACAATAAAATGATGTAAAGCATTTTACAGGATCAGAATTAAAATAATAACTAATGGCAAATTGCATGTAGTCCTGTTCTACTAATTGCAAACAATAAACTGTATGAACTACATAAGTTCAATGTTTTAGATATTTTAAACGCTCTAGAAAAAAATTCGTAAGATACACTGGTGAAAAACATTTATTTTTATTTTTAATTGTGGTAAAATCAGGGTGGAAAAATTTTATTGCTATTTAAATGTCTTAGTATAGCATAGATTTTCATTTCCAAGAGAAAAAGGAGTAAATAACTTAGAAAAAAAGTTAAAAATGGTGTTAGTATAGTAAATGATAGTGAGTCTTTAAAAGGAAACTGGTGATATTATCCACCAAAGAGGATGCTCTTATTAGTACTTAATTAAAACAATGACTCATTATATGAAATGTTGAAGAGCTAAGATTGTAGTAAATATTTGACCAGAATTGATGCTTATTTAAAAAATCTTTTTCTCTTTCATCAAGGATTCTGTCTTATCAAGAAGACTTAAGGACATAGAAACGAATGGCTGAAAGAGCTTTGGTATTTCAACATATCATAAAATCCCTTATAAAACATAATTTTTAGAAGAAATATGTTGAGTTAAAAACCCTTAAGTTTTTACTTGCTTGAGTATATGAATCTGATTGTTTGGGCTGAACATTTTCTTTATTTATAAATAAAAGTTAGAAAGAGTTGCTTAATTTCTATGGAAATTTCTATGGATGATTTAACATATAACTTAATCTCTATTGTATGTCTTCCATCTGTTAAAAATTATTCCATACATCACAATATTTCCATTTCTAATGCCTATTGACTGGACTATATAATTGTCTATAATTGCTGCATGTGCACAAATTTCACATTCACATTTGTTATTACCTACATTAATACTAAAGTTTTTATTGCTTTTAATTCAATGTTTATGTCTGTTAAAGAACGAAACACACTCAAGATAAGAAACTTATGTTAGATGGTTTACTTTACTAAATGCAGAAGAGACTGCCCTTCAGACTTCCTAAATGTACGGAACTTTTAAAATTAACTGTGATATTTGCTACAAAGTGAATAATCAAATTGTTTGTGGGGTAGTAACTACTCACATGTTCAAATATTGTTAAAGCAACACAACTAAAGAATGAATGATCTTTTTTGGGAAGTGTATTTTACACTTTCCAAGTAATGGTTTTAGATCAGGTAATTGCTGGAACTGTGCAGATTACGGTCTGAAATCGGTGGGTCCCACAAGCACCAAAGAATGATAGTGTTGGCTGGGTGCGGTGGCTTATGCCTGTGATCTCAGCACTCTGGGAGGCTGAGGTGGGAGGATCACTCAAGGTCAGTAGTTTGAGACCAGCCTGAGCAAGAGTGAGACCTCATCTCTACTAATAATAGAAAGAAATTAATTGGCCAACTAAAAATATAGAGAAAAAATTAGCTGGGCATGGTGGCGCGTGCCTGTTGTCTCAGCTACTTGGGAGGCTGAGACAGGAGGATTACTTTAGCCCAGGAATTTGAGGTTGCTGTGAGCTAGGCTGACGCCATGGCACTCCTGCCAGGGCAAAAGAGCGAGACTCTGTCTCAAAAAAAAAAAAAAAAAGAAAAGAAAAAGGAATGACAGTGTTGGTATTACCAAGGTCTGTTGGAAACCTGAAAAAACAACATCATATATAACTATTGTCACTTTTTCCATTTGAAGTAACAGTGTTAATATTAGTATACTTCTAATTGTTATTTTAGCTTGTTCATAAACGCATGTGATAGCACCATCTGGTGACCAGATAGTAGGGCCCCTATTAGGACTGGTTGTTGGTACGAGAACATCAGATTTTCCTCCCTAGAATCTATCCAGTTCATATAATCAAGATCTTAGTATCTCATTGCGATGACATCCTTCAAACCCCTAAGCTGTTACACAATTCTCTACTGCTGGGCTATGAAACAGCTTCTTCTGGAAATGAAGCCACAGCTGGACCTAACGCTGTGGACTAAATACTAATTTATACAATGTTCAACACGTATGTTTTAGAACTGTCCTTGAATCCATATTCATCGCTTTAACTGATCTCCTATAGTAGGTTTCCACAGTGGATCCCACACGATTGATATTTAGTATCAATAGGAAAGTATTACTGCTTTTAAATCAATTTATCAATCAATCAATTAAAAAAATATTATTGAGCACCTGCTATATCCCAGAAAACATGCTAAAGCTGAATTCAGAGATGATTAAAATTCACCTCATTATCTCAAGGAACCCCCCAAAACAAGGAACTGTTCAGGTTAGCAGAGGAGACAAACATGCATTAAGGCTGCAAAGGCAAATGCCGAGGGGCCACGCGTGGCACGTGGGTGATGAGTGTGATCGCCAGCATTAGTCCAGCAGTATTCCTGGTGAGTGGAGACCACGCTCTGCTTAACTCGGGCAACCCCTTCTTGGCTGCGGCGGAGAGTTGTCATGTGGGAACACAGACCCACGTGTTCCATACCTTCTGATTTATCAACTGTGAAATCTACTGATTTTTATGTGTCGCAGGGAGATGAAACATCTTGTGGGCAACGTGGCTCAAAGTTGCCAGTCTGTAAACGCCAGATGCTAAAGAAGTAAAGCCATGAGAAGTCCAACACTGCGAGCATGCACAAAGTAACGTGGCAGGGTTACTTACCCCGCAGGGCAAAGGTTTCCCGGACAAAAGGTTAAGTGAGTCTGAGAAGTAAGACTGGAAAAGGCCTTCCAAGCAGAGGGAGCAGGGCACGCGGCATCAAGTCTTCCGCTCCTGCCACACGCCAGGCAGCCTGCTGAGCGCTGCGGACAAGACAATGAACAACAGCACGGCACCATCTCTGCTCTCCGGAGCTGCCCTCTGGTGGGGAGGAAAGACGTGAGCAAATCCTCACAGCATGCCAGGAGAGACACGATTTTGTCAGGGCAAACACCAGATGAGCAGCCTGGTCATGGATGTTCCAGAAAGTCTTCAGTGAGGAAGTGGCACGTCGGCCGAGAGTGGAAGGGAGAAAAGTGTTCGGGCAGAGGAAGAACATGCGGGGAACGGCAACGAACACAGTGTTTCCGAGAAGCTAATAAAAATCCAGGACGGGCTGAGTGGAAAGGCACGAAAGAGAGAAAGACGTTAAGTGAAACCTGGAGCGCTTGGAGGCCTGGTGGTAAAGGCCTTTGTAGGCCAAATCAAAGATTTTGGAAGTCCCTGAGTGGAAAGAGATGCTTATGAGTGAGTTTTCAAAGACACTCCTAGGCTGGAAGCAGAAGCTCACAGCTGGAACTGCGGAGCTGAGGCAGGAGGGTCACCTGAGGCCAGGAGTTTGAGGCTGCTGTGAGCTGCGAGGATGCCACTGCCTTCCAGGCCGGGCCACAGAGTGACACCCTGTTTCTAAAACAAAACAACAGACAGACACCATGGCTGTGGCATGGAGAGACTGGTGTGGGGGGGATGTGGGCGTAGGGAGACCACGGAGGAGAACCATGCCGTCATCCAGGCACTGGTGGTGGCAGCAGGAATGGGGCAAAGCGGGCTGAAATCGGAGATATTGAGGGTGTGAAAACTTCGCGTTGGTAGCTGATTAGAGGTGGGGTGGAGGCGAGGCAGAGAAAGGAGTTCGGGAGGACTTGAAGGTCTTGGCTGACTGAGGGGGTGGGAAGAATGGGAAGGAGAAGCGGAGAGAAGTGGGACCGGCACGAGGAGCTCAGTTTTGGAGACGCATTTCTGAGGATTCTGTGCGAGAGCCAGAGAGAACACTGAGTGAGCAGCTGCTTCCTGTGGCTGACGTGTGACAGGCCACCGGATTCCCTCCTGAAACGAAAGACTCCTCCTCTCTCACCAGGTCCCTGGAGGGGCGTCTGGGTTGAGGGAGCTTTCTCATGGTCGTGCCTCCTTCTCAGGGCAGCCGGCTCCAGTGACTGGGCAACAGGAGTTCCAGAGAAAAGGCCCCTCACCTGAACTCAGGACAGTTCCAAAGGTCATCCAGCTCCTGTGTCCCTGCTAGGTCGGCAGGGCCTTGGTGGAAACGACTTGCAGCTCAACTCTCCCATTCCACCCACTTCAGTTTCTTCCACAGGTGTGGGGCCTGAGAGTCCTCCCTGAAACTGCCCTTGGCTGTTAATTTCACCTCAGAACCTGCTTCTCTGGGAGCCTCACCTGTACGATTGTGGGACCCTGGCAGTCAGTAAACGTTTATTAAAACTGAGGCCATAGGTGAGTTTCTCGTGGCAAAGACACACATAGGCCCAGTTCAGGGCTGTGGGGCACCCAGAGTTTAGTGATGGGTGTAGGACCAGGCACCACAAAGGGAGTGGATAAGGAATGGTTGGTCTGTTTGAATGAAAACCAGAGGAGGTGGGGACTAGAAACGCTGTCTTTGTGTTATTGATTACCTTGAAAGAAATAGCATGGAGTATAAAATTGAGACCGGAGTGGGGTGAGGAGTAAACGTAAGGCACAAAAAATAGAGACACGAATGTAGTGAGCTTGTCGGTAAGTGTGACAGTGAATGGGGAGATGGGGATAAAGGAGATCTTTTTTAATAAAATGGGAGAAACTTGAGCATGTTCAGATTAGACGGGAACGGGTAGTGGAAAAGCAGAGGTGGAAGGTGCTGGGGAGCATCACGTAACACATCGCAGAGGGTTCCTGAAAGGGGGAGAGAGACGGGACCAGAGGCACCAGTGGGGGTGGCCCTGGGCTGGGAGGAGGGACCGCGTCTGAGGCCGGAATGAGGCCATTCGTGTCACGCGCTGTTTATTTCCTCTGTGAAGCAGGAGTCACCTGCCGAGAACGTGAGGGACATGGGGAGAGGTTGCAGAACTGAGGAGACTTGACAAAGTCGCCCGGAGAGCGAGACGGCGGCAGAGTAAGGGCTGCTGGATAAGGAGCTGTCCGCAAGGTGAGCCGTCATTTCACGAGTCCTCACTTCAGGTAGACGTGTGGGTGTGGTGATGTCGCAACAGTCGCCGTTTTGCTTCATAAAGAACTGAATGCTGTAAGGTAATTTTTATCGCGACGGATATGAAAGCAAACTTTGCCACCCTTGTAGTGCAGGACGCTAAGTCCCAGTTCAGAGAGGCACTAGCATGTGACCGCCCCAGAATACTCCACAGCCAAGAAGGGAGCTACCCAGGTCTGCACGGGGAAACTTTATTTTTTCAAAGGGAAGTTAAGAATTCTTAAGTATCTGTCTTTTTCTTCATGAAAAAGAAAGATCAAAATGCTGAAGAACGTTACACATTACAATTGAATTCAGGAAAACCCAGCAGGATTCCTTTGAGAAAAAAATGGAGAAAATGAGAAGCCAAAAATGTCTAACCACAACTGAGTAGTCTACCTAATGTGCTTCTCAAATATAAATAGAAAACTAGTTATTAGGTGATATAAATGGTTTCAGTTTGACAGACATTTTAATTTGTTTTTATGCACTTTCGAAATAACATGAGAAAATATAAATTCAGTTATAATATTTACTTAGCATCAAGTAAATTATTCTGGGACTAGATATTTTAAGAATAACAATTTTAAAATAATTTATTATTTTTGTCAAATATAACAGTAACTCTTTGACACTGTAAAACAACTGAAACGATGCAAAGGTAAATAGAATAATGAAATTCCCCTCATTCTCTCCAGTACCCTGGATCTACTTCCTGGGTCCAGAGATGAGCACTGCAAAGATGTTGCTCTGGGTCTTCTCAGATGTAAATACACGCACTTAAATACACTCAACAAAATATTAGTGAAAGATATAGGAGATTCTAACAATCAATAACTATATATCTTATGGATATATATCAACTCTGTACCCTAATAATAAGAATACACTATTTTCAGGTACACATGAAACAGTCGTGAAAATTTACCATTTATTTGTGTTAGGCCATAAAGAAAATCTAAATTCCAAATAGATTAATATAAGCCATATTAATATTATCATAGTGCAGCACATTTAAAACCTAAGCAAAGTAAAAAGGCTGTTCTCCCTGAAAACGTAAAAATGTCCTATTAAGGAACACTCGGATCAAAAGGGAAATATAAACTAAAATGACAGGATTTCTAGAAAACAATAATGAAAACGTTGCATATCAGAATCTATGGGACATAGCTAAAACACGAGAGTAAAAGTATTAGCTTAGAAACATATCAATTAACATAAAAATAAGATTAAATGCATTAAACAACCAAATCTGAAAGCTAGGGTAAGAGGTATAAGGAAAGGCAAAGAGATAAAGGGAAAAATTAACACAAATACATATAAACGTCAATGAAACAGGAAACACAAAAAGGGTAAGCAAATAAAAATCTGAGTTTTTTTAAAAAAAGATAAAATAGACAAATGAAGAAAACTGCAAATAAAGCACATATTTAAATAAGCAATAACTCAACGCACTAAAAATTTCATATATCGTTTGCTTTAAAATGTCTAGACTGCACTGTCGCTGCGCTCGGAGAGCAGGGGGGCCGCCTCCGGCCGCCCTGGGGTCTCGGGGCCGCGCTGGGGTCTCGGGGGGCCGCGCTGGGGTCTTCGGGGGCAGCTGGGTGTCGGGGGGGGCCGCCCTGGGGTCTCGGGGGGCCGCCCTAGGGTCTCTGCCCGCGCTGGGTCTCGGGGCCGCGCTGGGGTCTCGGGCCGCGCTGGGGTGTCGTGGGGCCGCGCTGGTCATTGGGGGGGCCGCCGCCTGGGGTGTCGGGGGGGCCGGCCCTAGGTCTCGGGGCCGCGCTGGGGTCTCGGTTGCCGCGCTTGGGGCTGTCGGGGCCCCGCGCTGGGTCTCAGGGGCCGCGCTGGGGTCTCGGGGCCGCGCTGGGGTCTCAGGGCCGCGCTGGGGTCTCGGGGGGGCCGCTCTGGGGCTGGTGGGCGCCGGCGCTGGGCGTCTCCCGGCCGCGGCTGGGGTCTCAGGCCGCGCTGGGTCTCGGGGGGGGGCGCCTGGTCTCTGGGTTTGCCCGCTGGTCGTCGGGGGGGGGGTCCGCGCTGGGGTCTCGGGGGCCGCGCTGGCGTCTCGGCGCGCTGGGTGTCGTTGGCCGCGCTGGGGTTTGGGGGCCGGCGCTTGGGGTGGTTCGGGCCGCCCTAGGGTCTCGGGGCGCGCTGGTGTGTCGGGCCGCCGCTGGGTCTCAGGCCCGCGCTGGGGTCTCGGGGGGGCGCGCTGGGGTCTCGGGGCCGCGCTGGGCTTCGGGGCCGTCCCCGCTCCCGGCGAGGCGGTGGCGGCAGCCGCCCCGGGTCCCCGCGGCCGGAGCGTCCCGCGCTCTCGGGACGGGGCGCCGGGCCCGCCGGGGAAGCAGCTCTGTGTTGGCGGCCTCGAGTCGCCCCCGCCCGGCTGGGGGAGCGGACTCAGCCGCCTGTCCGAGCGCCCTCCCCGAGCGCGCGCCGGGCCGAGCAGGGCTCCCGTGGCGCTGCAGGCTCCAGTCTGGGTGCTCCGGGGGCCGCTCGTGCGGGTTCGGGGGGCAGCTCGTGCGGATTCTGGGGTCAGGCAGGGAGGGCTCCGTGGCCCCTGGACCACAGGAACTAAGCTCCACCTGCGTGACCCGGCACCTGCGCAGTCCCAGAGCTGCGGAGCAGCCGACTGCTCCGCCCCACCCAGAAACCCTGCCTGGGCCTCCTCCCCGGTCCTTGCTCGGAGGCTTTTATACCCGAGCCCAAACTTTGCACCTGTGGCTCCAGAGCTCCCACCGAGCCCAGGACACCACCCTAGACTCCAGTGCTGCGCTCAGACCCCAAGACCCCGCGCCTGAGCCTCCCCCACCCTGCAGGGCTGGTGGAACTGCTCCAAGGTGCAATGGCCAACCTCGAGCTGCCAGTCATGGGACCTGGTTGGAGCAAATGCCCGCAGCCTGGGAACTCACGTCCTCTGCTACATAGCCTCTCCTGGCTGCCGCTGTCGCCTCTGCAGGGACAGCTGGGCAAACGATCCCCACAACATCAGCTCCATGGACAGGGTCTCGCCCAGCTCCCAACTTGAACTTACTATGACTACCGGGTGAAGAATCCAACACCCATTCGATCCAGCAATCCCCCAACTGGGTATCCACCCTAAGGAAAAGAAGTTATTTTTATCAAAAAGACACCTGCAGCACAATTCACAATTGCAAAAATCTGGAATCAATACAAGTGCCCATCAATTCATGAGTGGATTAACACAATGGCATATGTATATACCATGGAGTACTACTCAGCCATAAAAAGGATGAATTAATGCCTTTCGCAGCAATTTGGAAGGAATTGGAGACCATTATCCTGAGCAAAGTATCCCAGGAATGGAAAAACCACACACACTTTCTGATAAATTGGAACTAACCTGTGGGCACACAAGTACACAAAGGGAAGTAAAAGTCTTTGCAAATCAATCAGGGAGCTGGGGGGGGGGGACACCACGTAATGTGTACAGTGAACACGATTCAGATGATGGCATATTTATAGCCCTGACTCAAGCCATGTAACAAAAATATTTGTACCCCCTTAATATTTTGAAATAAAAGATAGTTTCCACAGTGTGTATAGTCTGAAAACTGTAAATATATTAACATCTTACTAAATATTTCAGCAAAATCAGTTTATTTCTTCTTTTCAGATACACAGTACAGAAAGTGAACTATAGAAGATACACTCTAAAAACCAATCATCTCTTTGAATATCACATAGCATATTTTTTAAAACAACTATCAACAAAACTGAAATTTTATGACGTTGTCTCTTCTAACAATTTAGACTTTGTCTTTTGTCTGCTGTGAGTATAGCTATCCCTATTTTCCTTTGGTTTCCATTTGCATGGAGTTTTTAACCTTATGTTCTGCTATGGTCTGTTAGTGTCCCTCTAAATTTCACACGGTGCATCCTAATCATCACGGTGGTGGTGTTCTGCAGAAAGTGAGGCCTTTTGAGTGCCCTTATTTTTTAAAAAAAAAAAAACCTCATGGAGCTTCCTTGCCCTTTCCACACTGTGAGGACACGGTGAGAAGGAACCATCTCTGAAACAGTGAGTCCGTACCGCACGTCGAGTCCCCTGGCATCTTAATCTTGGGCATCGCAGCCCCTACAACTCTATAAAGTAAATTTCTGCTTTTCATGAGCCACCCAGTTTATGGCAATTTGTCATATTGGCCCAAATGTCCTATAAATGTATTTACCACTGTTTACATTACCTACAAAGATTATTTGCTAATTATAGCAAATGTCTTTTATATTTGTGAAATCTGACTTTTCTCAACTCCACCAGTTTATCTAACTCAGGGTCGCTAACAAGGGTCAGCCTTGGTATATAAGCCACCTGAGTTTATGCAATAACAGATAAGTTATCATGATAGAATATTTTTATCTTATTTATATCTTCATTCTCACTTACAAGTTTCGCTCTTTTACTAAAAGACTAAAATCTTTTAGAAATTAAAAATGTTTCTGGCCAAAAATGATTTTAACTAACTAATGCTGTTTGAAATAAATGAACACAAAATTACACTTCAGAATCTCATTATTAAAATTTCCAAAACTCTTCTAGCCAAAAATTGTTAAAAATGTTATTCGACCTTAAGATCATGACCAGTTAGGTCTTTATAGCTCTCAATTTGTATTGTCTTGCATTTTAGGCATCTCTATTTTAAAATAAATGATTCTTGTGGTTCAAAAGTGATGTATGCTAAAATTAGAAAAATCAGAGAATACTGATAAGTATAACAAGGAGTTAAACGACTCTTACCCCTATTATCTCTAAACACAAATACAGAATTTTACCTATTTTACTGCATTTCTTGCCAACATTTTTTATCTCAACATAAATTCAGGTCGCAAAGCATTGACTATGTGTGTGTGCATGCAAGTGGGTGTGTTTGTAACTGACACAGGATTGTTATCACTTTGTATGTCTTATGTACCAAATCAAACATGTGTGAAGTGATACGATTTCAAAGGTAGAGACAGAATCTTTTCCATTTACTGTGAAACAGAGGCTCAAAAGCAACACGGAAAGCTTTGAGATATTTAGGAAAGTGACAAAAATAGGATCTGAAATAATTGCATTTAATTTTTTGCCATAAATATTTTGTAAATTGGATCCATAGCACTTTGGTTTGCCAAGTTTTAATGTGGTGTTTTAAGAAGTGAGCACTGGTCTCGGATCACAATTACATCATCACAAATTGGCAAACATTTTTACTTATGGATAAAAATGAGTTTAACAATACTGGATATATAAAATTGATAACTGGATTAACTAAAATTCTTAATAAATGTGCACTTTATTAGTCCCCGTAAGAACCACGCGTGTCTTTTTCACAGCTGGGATACTCCAGTTTCCCATCCTGACACTTCGTTTGAAAGGGTGGAGATGTTGCTGCCACACGATATCCGTGTTTACACACAAATTCAACACTTTCACCCGTTTGGACATAAAGCTTCTGTTGGTCTAACCACCTTAACGTTAGGTTATATTTTCCCATGATTTCTTCGGACATTACACATGCTTCTGAAAGTGGAAAAAAATGAACACAAAAGATTTAGTAGTGCTGTATAATGGTTCAGGAATTCTTTCTCAAAATCCTTTCCAAACTAGCTCTGTAGAAACATCATATAAAAGTTAAAATGGTAAACCACATGTAAATTAGGTACTATGTGTAATGTGTGCTGATAGTTGGATGTTACTATCAAAGATTCACGACATCAATTATATTAAGGGCCTTGCATTTTAGAACCTATCATTGCTGTTTTCTTTGAACTAAGGTATTGGTCAAATGGTACAAACCTTCAGTCATAGGAGGAAAACGATCTGGGGATATAATATAGAGCATGATATCTAAAGTTAATATTACTGTATTTTTTACTTGAAATTCGGTAACAGAGCAGATTTTAAATGTCCTTCTAACACACACATACGCATCCACACATACACAATAGTAACTATAGGTGATGTGAATGTGTTAATTTGATTGTGGTCTAATTATTGCATTATAAATATATCAAATCTTACACCATAAATATATATAACTTTTATTTGTAAACAGCAAGTTTTAAAATAAAATACAAAAATTAAAAAACTATTTTCTTAACTATACTTTCTCATATATAAATATTTGATAGGTAAGAATTCAGCATAAGGTTGTATGTTAGTCCCTGAAATTTCTATTATCAAAAACAAAATATTATACACTGACTTTTCCAGAATACATTAGAATATTAAAGTACTTACTTAAGCATTTTGGTGGTTCTGACCACTGTCCATTTCTACATGTTATTTGCTTGTTTCCCTGAAGTACATATAAGGTCTGGCATTGATACTCAACTGACGAGCCTGGAGCATGTACTTGTAATGGGAACGAAGTAATGTCTCCATTGTCAATAGCTGGAGGGGACCCACATTTTCCTTGAGAATCTAAAAAACATCATTTGATTTATTGAGAGCACAATTCAAATTATAGTTTAAAATAAGGCAAATAGAAATGCAGCACTTTATGTAATATCAACACCTTTGTGATTTCTGCTGAAAGAAATAATTAGAGGAAGAAATTTTAATTAAATAAACTGCTACATTTTTAAGGTCTTCTTTCTTTCTCACTGAAAGAATACATAATGCATTGAGAAGGATGTCTGCTTTGCAGTATTCCAAGCTTAAGAAATGTCTTTTTTTTCTTTTTTATTGCAGGATATTCTGGGGGTACACTATGTCTCTTTAAGTAAAAAAAATGCTAAACTGACAGCTAAGATAGAGAAATTTCCTTTTTTTATACACAACATGCTGTAGTGGAGATTGGGTCTTTAGTCATTTTTTTCTCTTGGTTTTCATTTGATTACAGAGGAAACATCAGCTCCCTGAAAAAAATTCAAAGAACACAAATTTATAGAAGGTAAAACAGAATGGTTGGCTTCCTGATATGTACAAAATGAGAAACTTACTCCTTCTGCTAAGTACAGCTCAAACTCCTGACAATAATGTAAAAAACAAAACAAAACGCACATTAGAGAACTCTGAAGGATGTAGAGAATTCCATCTGGTGAGAGACTTTCCTGGAATCAAGGGATGGCAAAACAGTGTGTCATCTCTATTGTCTTTAGCCAAATATTCAGAAAAGAGGCAACGAGGCAAGATCAAGTTTTTCTTTTTCTATTTCTGTTTTTTAACAATATCTTGACTACTACAGGAAAACATCGTGAGAAACCAATGCCCACCCTCCACACACCCTGTCAGACACAGGTCAGATTAGGAACTACCCTCCCACCCACATGATGAAGTGACTAGACATTTCCTCCTTTGCCTGTGGGGTCAGCAGAGGCCAAGTGAGAAACCTGGACTTGAACCTGTCATGGTAGTAACGGAACCCATTTAACAGAAGATTAAAATACAATTTGGAATCTCAAAATCTAACATGCACAATATCAAGAATAACTTAATCAAAATCACTCATCATATTATGGACAAGGAAATCTCAAAAAAAGAAAGACAATCAACAAAAGATAATACTGAGATGACATAGATACTGAAATTGACAACACTTTTAAAATCCCAAAAGTAATTGAAATCTGAAAAGTACACCAGAATTTTTTTTAACAGCTCCCTGGATAGGTTTAATAGTATAACAGAATGGGAGATGACAGGAGGATAAATCCACACACTTTGAAGACAGAACAATATAAATTACCCAGTCTGAATATAGCCTGAAAATTTAAAAAGTAAACAGTGCCTCAGAGATCCTTAGAACAGAACCAAAAACTGGAGATCCCAAAGAGAGGAGAGAAGGTGTTGGGCAGAAAAAAAAAAAAGCCAAATAATAATGGCTGAAAATTTGCCAAATTGGGCATAAGGCATAATTTTACATATTCCAGAGGTTTAGCAAACTCCAAACAGGATAACCTTAATCAAATTCAGATCAATACACATTAAAATAAAACTACCTGACGAAAAATAAAAACATCTTGAAAACAGCTAGATAGAAATATGCATTTCCTACAGGGGATCATGGATTCAAAAGACAATGGGTTTCTCATCTGTCTCCATGGAGACATTAGGAAGTGGCACATTGTTCAAATACTTAAAGAGAAGGACTGTCAACTCCAAGTTTCATATCCAGTGACACTATCCTTTAGGAATAAGGAGATTAATAGAAAGTCAAAGGGAAACCAAGAGAATTTGTCTTCAGCCAACTTATCCTTAAAGGTTAACTAAAGGAATCTTTCAAATAAAAATAAAAAGATGACAGAAAGAGATAGAGACTTCAGGAGGTAGAAAAGAACAAAGTAATTGATAAAAGAGGGGTACATATAATAGATGGTCTTTTCCCTCGTGAGTTTGTTAAATTATGTTTCATGTTTGAAGCAAATTATTTGCTTTCATATGTTGCTCAGTGTATGAAATACCAAAGCATTTATGTCAAAATGTGGGGAAGTCAATGGATCTAAGTAAATAATGTTTCCATAGTTAGATGAAGGACAATTCAATACTGGTGAGAGTGATAAGTTATATATATATAATATCTACAGCAATAATTTTTTTAAAACAATAAAACAAACAAACTATAGAGATATACTTAAAAGTAATAAAGATGAATAAAAATGAAAGACATTTTAAGAAAATGTTTCCCGAAGGAAGGGAAGAATAGGGAAACGGGACTGAGACACAGAGGAAAACACACAAATAAAATAACAAGCATACAGCCTACTATGCCATAATTACTTTAACTATAAATGTTCTAAGTGACACCAGTTAAAAGCCAAGAATGGCATGATGGATATGCAACAAACCCAACTATATGCTGTTTACATAAAACTCTCTCCAACATAAAAGCATAGGTAATATTCTAAGTGAGAGAATGGAAAAAACATACCAGCGAAGATTAATTTAAAAGGATGGAAACAGACAATATCAATTTCCTATTGGTTCTCTTATTTCCTGAACTCTAAACTATCAAGCGCCATGACATGTGCTAAGAATTCTTTGTATAAATATAATAGTTCCCGAGGAGTCAGTGAGTCACATATCTTCAGTATAACCTATTATACTGAAGATGCCCAAATTGTATAACTTGTAGGATCTCTCTTCAACTGCTCTAGCTTCAATTTTGATGTTCTCCATATCAAATGGCTATCTCTTAGGGGGCAGTTGTACACAATGTGTCTTGTACACTTTTATTCCTCAAAATATCTGTTTAATGCTAAGGTCAAAATGATTCAGATCTAATCTTCCTTTATTCTGGTAATTTTTCCTGAAAATAATAACTTGCATGGTTGAGTTCACCCAAAGAATTAAATTTTAGCACCATCATCTTTATTTTCATTTGAAAATATTTCTACAAAAATACTTCACTTTATTGATATGAAAGTCTTTTACCCCTAGTATATTCTCAAATATTTTGGAGAAATAGAATATTCTACCTTTGCATTGAGGTGGTTCTGTCCAAGTTCCGTTTAAGACCATCACTTCTACATCCCCAACATGTCATAAGGTCTCTCACATTCATAGCGGACTTCTCTCGCCAGTGATACCTACTCATCGGTGTTGATATTATATTAGCATTTTCCACTGTGGGTGGATTCACAGAAGAAATATCTGAATAGAAAGACAAAAGACATTCCCCGACTAGTGTTCATTGAAGTACCAAATCAATGAACAGGTTGCAAATGCCTTTCAAGGGGATTTTAATTCAACAGATAATCTGTCATAAAATTTATGTTGATTTGAATAAATTACATTAATATTGGAAAGGAAGAACAAAGCAGCAATTTTTGTGTAAGTTTATAAGCTTCAATTCTTTTCACTTTCCCTGCCCACTAGAAGCAGTTGACGACTTTTGTTTTTCCTTTGGAGGATCGAGTGAAATAGCGAGTTTTCCTGGAATGTTTTCCTTGATTTTAGTATAAAATATACAGAGTTCCTATAACACAACATAGATTTATGAAATTAAAACCAAATGAAACGACTTGATTCTGTGCACAAACTCGGTTCAACCATCTGCTTCTGTAGTTGTAATTTAGGCCTCTTAAAACAAACTCAAGAGGTATATCTTAGAAATGAATCAAAGAATTGAAACACACCTCGAAGAATATCGTAGTTAAAGAAGAAAAAAATATGGTGACAAAGGATCGCATTATTTGGAGATGTGAGCAATAAACAAAAAAATTGGAGTGCCATACGGATTATAAAATATAACTTTTCATAGATTTAACTTGCCACATGTTAAGATATTAGCTGAGAAGATGTAGATCCATCAGAGAGTGTCAAGTGCCTGTGTAGCAAATAATCTCAAAGCAATGCTTCCCAAACTGAAGTGTGCATAGATTCCTCTGGAGGACTTGGTTACAAAGAAGTCAGGGTCCAGGTCCCCGTCCTAGAGATTTTGATTCCAGTATTCTAGAAGAGCCATGAATTTCCATCTGCAGTTTTAACAATTTCCCAGAAGATGATGATGTTCTGTCCGGGACTGCACTTTGAGAACTATGGTGCTAAAAAGTGTGAAAACTGGGACTCATTTCATCTTGTCATTTTTCAGACTAACTTAACTTTGTCCTGGCGTAAAATGGTAATCATGTCCATTATTACAATAGCTAAGAGACGCTACTGTTTTTATGACCAAGACACTTCTAGACAATTAAAATTCATCAATACTCTGCATTTGATTTCCCGACCCGATCTGCTATTAATGATGTCACAATGTTGGATCCATCCAATTGGTAATTTGGTTGACATTCATAACTCAATTGTTCTCCTGACCTATATGAAGTCTTCTTCTCTCCTGTGAGTATGGCATTATCAATTATGGGGACATTATGACAATCTGTTCCTAAATGAGAGAAAATACATATTTGTTCCGTAAATTCTTCAAAAGACATTATATACAATAGTTCTATTCTAAAATCATAGTTGGCTACATGTAGAACCAATGAATACCATACAATATTTTTCTTATAGCTTGACAAAATATTTTAGTAGTATTGAATTAATTATATTAAATTGTTTTAAATTTATCAAAAGTAAAAGATGGGAATGATATCAGAAGCCTGAAGAGATATTGGTAGTTATAATGCTTGAGATTATACTTTTTGCATTCAGATGATTTTTTGCCCATACAAGCCACCTATATTACGTAGGCATTTCTAATTTTGTTCCAGTCAAATATATCACCTACAATAATTATTTTAAATATTTTAGAAAGTGTATTTACAGAGAGACAGCTGTAAGCTGACAGAGGTAGAATAATAATGAGATGCACGAGTAGCTCTAAGAGCAGAGATAACAGACATGAGAAGTCTGAGAATGTATATCAGAGGATGCCGAAAGTTCACACCCGGCGATGTGAGAATTCAGCAGTTTGGCTTATGATGTCCAGCATTTTAATTGCTAGAGCTATAATTCTCAGCAACAATCCAGAACCTTCAAGAAATACCTTGTTAAATTCTATAAATACTGCTTACTTTCCTATTTTGTCATTTGTACTTTGAATTAAGGATATTTATCATACAGAAAATAAAATGAAATATATTATACTTATGCATGTTGGTTGATGAGACCACTTTCCTCCTAAGCATTTTGTAAATGCAGGTCCGTCAATTCCAAAACCTTCAGAACATTGGTATGTAAATTCTTCTCCATACTGGTAACTGGACAACATAGGGGATCTAACCCCATGATCAATTGAAGGTGGTGGCCCACAAGGAAGTCCTAAAATAAATAAACGCATGATTACATGTTTCACCATCTCATAAATTTAATTTAATGTACTGGTTTTCATATTTTATATTTGATTTGAGAATAAATGATAACACAGGAGCTATGATGATATCATGTAGAAGGCACACAAATGTTTCCCAAAACCACCATTCTGGTGTCTGTCAACCTGGCTAACTGTCACATACTGAGCAAGAGCTGGAAACTAAGAATATCAATATGTTTAAGATGACATAGCCAATGCTTCTCTAACCAATCCTTAGTGGTAACTGGATACACACTGAAAATTACTAATTCTAAGAAAAGTGTCCTATAGCATAAGAAATCAGGAGAGATACAGTAGGAAGGCCATAAAAAAGTTGAAACTTGGTGGCAAAGAAAACACTACAACAAATGAATAGAAAGGTTTAATTTCACTTTATGTCATATTTTGTTTAAAGAAGAGAAATGCGAGAATAAAAAGTGATTCCATAATGTACCAATGAAATTTTTGAAGTATGATTGATTTGATTATGCAAAACTTTCAGTGGTACAATATCTAATGGTGTTATATATATAGTAATCTAAATTATTCTGTCCACTGACTTTTATAGCAAGAAATTATATATTTTAATTTATTAATTTTTAATTATTATGGGTACATAAGAGTTGTATA